AGGTACACGGAGAGAATTTCCTATTAAAATTTACCCTGAAAATCATGTTAAATAGTGGGATAACGTAGTATTTCGACAAATTTTACTGTGCTACAATAAATCGGTTGTACACGAAAAGAACGATTTTGCTGGATAACAAAAATTTTCAGATTTTTTTCTTATCTTCCAGCAAAATCGTTCTTTCCGTGTAGTGTACATTAAAAAAATAGTGAAGAAAATCATATAAAATTCGTCGAAATGCTATGCTGGTCCTACGATTAACATGATTTTCTGCAGGGTAAATTTTACAATAAAATTCTCTCTGTGTAGCTACTTATCAGTACTTCCACCGGAGATTCAAGAAAAGCTGTATTCTTCGACGAGATGTAATACAACATAATCTGCAAGAGGGGCACGTCAAAGTCGCGATCGACTCTGTACGTGCAGTCTCTCTCGGGTGACACACTTGGGCGGGATGCTGGGATCCTCTGGCGGGGCAGCGATTATCGCGCATTTAATTGTGCCACACTGTTACGCTATCGCGTTAATATACACACCGCAGACGGTGTACGTACATATGTACTAATGGCTTGTTTATTGCACTTAAGCAGCCATTTCCTGCCGCGTCCGCGTGGTACAATATCTAGGTACTCGCCCCTCCGTGTGCATTCCATAATGCACATTCTTGCGGCAAAAGAGGCACGCATCGCTCCCCTGTCCCCTCCCCTCCTGCCCCTCTTCATCATTAACCCGCCACCGCGTTGGCCCCGTTGTCATGAAACACGCGTCCGTCCGTGTTCTGTGAATTAAAACGGCAAATTGTACGGGGTGCCGCATTCACATCGCGCGCGCTTTCTCTCAGTCAGCAGATTCTTTGACCGATTCTCTGTGGTACAAATGACGGATGCCCGGCGCACCCTGTACGTAGTAAACAATTTTGCAATTTCACATTGCGCGTAGGTAAAATGACCCCGGAAATTTCCCATCGTCTGTTCCTGCTCGAGAACTCATTCCATAATTTAAACAAAATGTTTCAATATTATATAAATTTAAAATTTAAAAGTAAGTAATTAATTACTTTCCACAGTAGAATTTTCCGTGTGAAATTTGCTTTAACAGCGACTTAAGTTACGTATATACGCATTGAAGATTAGAATTTAATCAATCTGCAGAACGAAACGCGAAATAAAATTAAAATTACCTCAATGGCCGAGTTCTAATATTTAATTTGCAATTCCCAATCTCCAATACGTGGTATCTGATAGTTGGAGGGGGGGGGAGGGGGTCTGATAGTCGCTTTGCGCGATTTCACTGCTACGCCACGCCGATATTTGAGACCGTTACGACGAAGATCTGGTGCGGTTCTCCATCAAATATTTTGACAACAACAGACTTTGCCGTTGAGACAGTCGCCGATGACGCAGCTGCGGCAAAGGCACCGTTGCCCAGTCGACAGATTTTATCAGCTGCCCGCTCCGCGGACGACGGTGAGAACGCGACCGACAGGTTTTTAATTCGCCGTCGCGCTTTCGCGTTCGCGGCCGTCGCGATTTAACGCCGCGCTGGATACTTTCTAACCCATTCATACTTTCTATAAACATTATCGCCGCATTTCCAGAGTGCTGCTGACCGCTCGGCTATCGCGCTAGTATTTCGATTCGCGTATAACACACAACGCGCGCGCGGTGCTGCTGCATGCAATATATGTGGTTACGCGACGCGTGGTTGTTGTACAGGGGGAGAGGGGGGGGGAGGAAGGGGATGCCTCGGCTACCTCGTCGCCGCGCCGCGATTCCGGTTCTCACAGAATCTTTCCTACGGCACTGCCGAAGGAAGCCACAGGAGCACGAAGGTCGCGGGGTATGTCGCGTTGCGTCGCTTTGCGTCGCGTTGCGATCGTCATTACGTCGAATACCTTCAAGTGCCCTAAATCTGCGACACCGGTCGCGAACAAGCGAATCCGAGATATACTTTCATGTATATGCCTGCAGCGTGAACGCTCTTTTGCGAAGCCATTGACATCGATATTGATAAAAATAGAGTGACACGAAAAGAAGATAGGCGGATTTCACACGTCAATTATATAGGTGAACTGAGGTTCTGCATTTGCATATACGAAGGCTTTGTTTGTTTTCGCAAATCTTTTCTAAGGTCCATTTCTACCAATGTAGACTATAACTTTAATCTCGGTTTAATTCAATTTTTATCTTCTTTTAATTCTTACAACTAGAAAAAGACAAAAATCAAGTTAAACCGAGATTAAAGCTAATCTACATTGATAGAAATTGACATATGCCGATCTAAACTCATCTCAAACAATCCGGAATTGTTTATTTTCGTGTACAGTATGAACGCTTTTTCGCGAAGCCATTGATGTCGATATTGATGAAAATAGAGTGACACGAAAAGAACGGCGGATTTCACACGTCAATTAGGTGGACTGAGGGCCTGCATTTGCATATCCGAGGCTTTGTTTTCGCATATCTTTTCTAAGCCGATCTAAACTCCCTCTCAAACAATCTGGAATTGTTTATTTTCGTGTACAATTGAGCTGCAACTTGCTTTCGTTAATGACCTAAAGATTATAAATTAAGAATAAATATAAATTATTGAGTTATGAACAAATTATTGAGTTGAGGCTAAGCCGCGAAAAAAAAACCGAAGGTGAATTAATTGAAAGATACGCGATTAAATAATATTTCAGCGAGAGTGAACGTTTCGCTGATAAAAATTTCATGTAAAACACAAACGAAAATTAATACATACACGACAGTCATACGATATATTCCGTTTGATTTCCGCGAATTCCCACTGACACTTGATGCTTAAAATTGTCTTCGCACTTATCTCGCGGCTGATACGAACACGTAAATCGCGATACAGTATCTCCGAGGACACGTTCTTCACGTGTGTGCGAGACACACAAAGGCGATTCGCGAGGCAGGTATCGCTTTGGGTTTCGTTAGAAATAGAAAGTATCCGCTTCGAGTAATCCGCTCAAGTATTACAGATTCGTCGATGAGGCTCGGAAATCTATAGTATCGATGGCGAATATTATACGTGTATATATATATATATATATACACACGCACAATGCCGATCGCCGAAGTCTCGCCGTAAGGAGCATAAAGCGTGCGAGTGAAAGGCGCTATGATAATCGGCGGCGTTACAAGGGCAGTTTAAAAAAATTCGCGTATATGCACTACTGTCGCCGCGCCGCGCCGCGCTCGCGCGTGGGAGCGCGCGTTTAAACGCGGCGGCGCAATTACGCTGCTATTTTATTTCCTCGCGTGATATAACAAAACTCCGTGCGACGCACGGGGGATAGGGGAGGGGGGGAGAGGGGTCAACATACGTCTCTTATTTCTTCGACGCTCTCTTTGTGTTTACGGGGCCAGCGTTGTTATGTATATCCGCCATGTGTTTGATCAATCGCCTCCCGCTCGCGACGACGTTCCTCGCGGTTTGTACACATTCGTATCGTTGGCCCGCGTAAAAGCGGATCGAGACTCAAATTTCCCCGATAAGCCCCGCGTATCTCGGTAATTTAAATCGTTTGCTTTCAACGAATATATATATATAGGTATACAGACCGCTTAAAATATATCGCCCCAAAGTCTTCAAAGTCAACTTTCTTTGAATTTGATTATTTTAACAATGCTAATTTTTTACTTGTCACTTTTCGATCAACGCGACGGCATGTGTATGTACACGAGGAAAAATTTGTAACCCGCTCCTTCGAAACTGTAAGCGGCATTGAATTTAAAACGGAGTATAGTGTAGCGCACACGTCACCTCGATACCGCGAAGCGCCGTAGGACGATCGGTGTGCTGTTTGCCGAAAAAATCTCGACGACACGCGACTCGCGACATTTAAATTCTCGACAATGTCAAACGAACATCGGTATTGGTCACCTGCCAGTGGAAAAAAGTCTAGGTGGGTAAAACGGTCGGCGCCGATATCGCTGATTCGCGTGATCGCGCGATTCCTGCAGCTCGCACGGTGTATCGCCGATAAGCGGCGCGATATCAACAGGTCCGCCGATGCGTCGCGTCGCGTCGCGTCGCATAGCTTCGTGTCGTGTCACCGACACGTCGCGCGTCGCGTCGCGTAGCCGCGGCGGACAACACAAAGCGAGACAACGCGACGGTTCTCTCGGCGTCGTCGTCGTCATCTCGTCCGCGCCTTCGCCACGCCATGTGTGCCACGCGCGTACGTTGGTATTTACCTGTCCGAGTCCGGGAGAGGACGAAGACGAAGGTTTCCCCGAGATTTCGCCTTGAAGAGAATTCCACCACTGTCGCTGGCACACCACTGTGTATACCGGCGATCGCGGCACCACTCGGTACCACCTCACCAATACGCGCCGAGGGCCTCGCGCGGCTCCGCCGCCGCCGTCGTCGCCGCTTCTGCGTCAGCTCGTCGTGCCGCCGATCGCCGATCCGCCGCCGCCGCCGTCGTCGCGCCGAGCGCACGCTCGGCGCGCATATCCAGGCACATCCGATGCTCCGAGAGAAGCGCGCACGGCGAGCCGACGTTCCCGTTGCGCGAGCGAAAAACAAGAGACGCGATGCGATGGGAGCGCGGAATGCGGTGGAACGCCGTGAAAGCCCGAACTCCTCGCCGCACGCGTTGCCTCGCGGCACTGGTGCTGGGAAAAATCGTGTCGTCGCGGCGCGCACTACACCGCCGCGGAGTGACGTTTGCGTCGGGCGTGCTCGGGGGGGCTGTCACGGGACCGAACCCCCGAAGCCTGTCGATCGGCCGTTCGATATTACGCTCTCGCGCGCGCACGCTACGTCACGTCGTGAAACGTACTACTACGGGGGCCTCGCCGCGATTGTAAATGCGCCGAATGCGCGCAAGCGCGAGCACGGCCGATGGCACACGCGGACGGACGCGCGAGACAAGCCGAATGCCGACGACGCCGCCGCCGCCGCCACCGCTACGTCGTTACGATAGCCGCGACTGCTCGCGATCACGGTGGTCGCCGCCGCGAGCGATGCGCATGCGCCGTTATTAAATGCTACTACAGATGTGCTACTCCGAAACTTCGGTGCGCCATTTCCGGTCGACATTCATCGTATGTAAACGCTTTAAGATTAATTTAATTATATCGAACTACGTATTGAAGATTGGGGGGATTGTAAATTGGAGATTAGAATTCAATTAAATAAAAATATAATATAATATTTAATTTTAATCCGTTTCGCTCTAACCGATTGAATTCTAATCTCTGATTTGTAATCTTTATCCATTTCTATAATTCAATATAAATTAATTTTAACCTTGGTTTAATTACTTTTTATCTTCTAGTTTTAAAAATTGAAAAAAGATACGGATAAATTAAACCAAGATTAAAATTAATCTACATTAGGCAGAAATGTATTCTACTAGATTCTAGGGACACACTTGAGTACGCGAAGCGATGACAACGCACCTTGCAGCGGATTCCTGAACCAGACGATCTCGTGCAAAGACTTGCTTCTCTCTGCTTTCCGTTCTCCCGGATTTTACTTTCCTCGGCATAAAAATAAGGAATCAGCCGGAATCAGTTGCAACTGCCAAACTCGAGTGATATCGACAAAAAAAATGCCTCTGCGAATAACCCGAAAGCACGTCGAACTGGCGTCGAAATGGTGAGCACTCCAGTATTTTTTGTATTCAAACTTCAGTCTTGATTAAAATGCGAATAGCAAAAATTTGATCATTCCATCTGTAATGACAGCATAGAATAAGCGTAACAAGTAGTAGCAAGCATTCTTTCCATTTTTATAATATTTTCACATATTTCTCTCCCTCTTATATGTCAAGAGCGCAGAATACATCTGTTTTACTCCAATGCAAAGTTAGGATCTTTTGCGCTGCGTCAGATGCTCCAAGTATTTAAGTTATCGAATGATTCTTTTACGTTTTCAGGTCTGCAACCGCAATGGCTTACGGAACTGGCGGAACCTTAGCACTGTTATACTTTACAGACTGGAAAGCAGTGGTTACATATATTCCATTCTACAATACCAAGTTTCAAGAATAAGGCACAGGGTTCCTCAATAAGATTATGTAATAGTGGAGCGATAGAGACTATTGTACCATGCTATATTTACATCTGTTACTATGTTTTCGTCTGTTTCATCTAAATTATAAGGTATATTAAATAAAAAAACGTATGTGTGAAATTGGTAACGGTGTATAAACTCGAGTTCGTCAATCGTTTTCCAAGGCTCTCTTCTTGCGCTGCTCGTAGATCACGTTCGCGAATTCCTCCGCTTTCGCGGCTCTTCGCCGTTTGATCCATGGCTGTATGTAAAGTCTGCGAAGGAGAACGAATCGCATTATCTGACGTGTGCCTAAATTTCACCCTCGCTGTAACGTCGGTACTTCATAAAAAAAAAAGAGCAAAATGTACCTACTTGAAACCTACTCCGCACAAGATTACGCCAGCCGTCAGAAGCCCAAGCTTGGCAAGCCTTTTATTTACTAGATTGTTGCTCTTCGTTACCGAACTAGAAAATTACGTTCATTACTGCGTATGTTATATTTGAAAATAAGAAAGTGCCATTTGTACAAAATCTCTGCCCGTAATCCGATTTATTTTGAAAACAATCAGTGGCATTTTTTTAAACAACAAATTACGAGTAAATAACAAGAAATCTTGCAATATATATTTTGCCGTCTTGTTATTCTCTTTTTCAGATTAAGCATGTAAACTTGATTTCAATTTTTTTTTTGCTACAAAATATTACTACAGTCAGTATTAATAATATATTGATGACACCAATAAGGATTAATATATACTGATTACTGTAATTGTAAGCACTAAATATACATAAACGTTATGTTACATAATCGCGAAATGTTCGATTATTATAACCGGCGTATATAGGTTATGATCGTACCGTCATTTGGGAAGAATTCAATTTACCTCATTTAGCCCGAGTTCCTTCAGCTCCTTTTCACGTTCTTTCATATGTTGCCTGAGCAAATGATTCCAATTGTAAATACCGAGTCCTGATGCTAAAATCAATGTGAGATAAATGTGATCCTTTCTTAATCCTTGCGGCACTCGAAATTTCATACTAGCTATGAATCTATGATCGCACATCACGGACGACGTTCGTATTTGTTTACACGTATATGTACATATACTAGGTTTCTCGCACGTGACTTTGAACTTTATCACGAAGGATTTTCGCTTCGAATAATTTTATCATAAATTTCAAACACGTAAACAATGAACAATAAATATATTCGTCAGTTAAGTAAATTTTATATATTAAAATACTATTATATATTAAAATTTATTATTATATTAAAATTATATTATATTATATATTATATATTAAAATTTTTTTCATTTCATCAATTCTAAATTGTTATTATATAATTACATATCGTTTGAACTGTAGGGGACATATCTGTAACATTTGTTAAAACATTTTTTTTATATAAACATGTATTTTTATCCAGAACATATTATATATAATTAATTATATAACTAAATTTATACAGAATATATTCCTCTGTCCTTTTAATTTTACCTTCCAGATAAGCTTCTTAGATCTCAATCAAGAGAGATTAACTTAAATCTTGCCCGAGTATTTATAAAACTTTTTGAATGTATTCAACTGTACTTTGAAGATCTCCTGCAGTGATTCTGGCAGTGTGCGAGATAGAAAGGCGAGTCCATGCTGATCACAGATGCTAATTAATTGACACAGAGATTCGTTCAAAGCCATCTGCGAGAGAAATGATAAATCTGATTAAAAATAATCTAATAGAACAACGGTTGGAGGTAGAGATATTTTTACCTTAACGTAAGATGGTACAGTGCCTTCCACAACCAACTGCAAGAGATCGGCGATCACGTAGGGACTCAGTCGGATCATATCCTTCTTCAATTTCACCAGCATGCTTGTAAATCTAAGAGAAAATGTCTATTACTTCCTTCATCAAATCAATTTTAAATCAGTTACTTCAAATAAATTTCATCAACATATTCTTGATCGCTTCGATACTATCGACGTATACCATTATTGGTGTATTAAAAATTTTTTTAATTAATCGAACTTACTTGGTGATATCGAGCGCGAAACACCTAAATCGATGCTCGTCGAATTTATCGGCTACATTTTTCGATGAATGGACAACGATCTTAACTATGTGTCTGTACAATTGCAATAAATTGGGCAATCTGTCTATTATCAAGTCCGTTTTGGCTTTTATCAGTGTTCTGCATATAGCGAGCACATCTTCGCACGACGATACGTTCGCTTGGCCGAGCGACTTCAAACTGATCAGTGTAATAAGATCGACCGTAATGTCGGGAATAATTAAATGTTTGGCACTGCTTATATCGCGAGACAAACGCAACAGCCCTGACCAGTATCCGCGTGGAATATCCAGCGTTAATACAATTTTCAACAGATTGTTGATCGCATTCAAACGCACTTTATTACGTTTAACGTTCATGTCCGTTCTCATTACACTGCTCCAAATGACAAACAGATTTGTCCATGCCGCTTCATCTTTTTGTGACAAGCTACTGATCTATAAACAAGGAATAAATTATAAATAATGCGTAAATGTTGTCAATAGCCGCTGTGTGAATATATTGATAAGGATATTACCGTCTGATCGTGCAACAATCTTAAAAGCTCGTAAAATTCGTTTAATCCGGTAGAGGCTAATAAAAGTTCGATCACACTCTTGCAAGGATGCTTCAGCATTATGAACCATAAGTTTCTGATGATCGTATCTTCGACTTCGAATATTTTACGATGTTGCAATACGATAACAGACAATTGTACACCTTGTTGCGACAATTCACTGTTATTTATATGACTTGAATTTTCTCGTGCCTGTAAAAGAAAAATTTATTTCTGAATGATCTTCGTGAATTTTCAACGCTTGAATTGCAAAAATATCCCATAAAAAAACTATAATTCCTTCCATATTACTTACCGCGAATATATTTTTGAGAGTTGATTCAGTTAATCGTTTCAAAGTGTCAGTAACTTTTCCAGTTTGAGCAGTTACTTTTAACACTGCTGTTAAACATTTTGCATCGAAAGCGTCGTTTATATCGTCAGGCAATACTTTTAAAATGGCTTTGGCTAACTTTTTCTCTGCCTTTCTGAAAATGACTTTTTGTTCGGCATTCAATTTCGGTTTGACAACATCCATGCATCCCAAAATAATGCACATAGCTTCCTTGCATTGAGCGCAACTTTTCACGAGACTCTTTAAAGTGGCATACGTTTTCACGTTCCTAAGAGAGAACTCGCAGGCTTTCGAAAACGCTTTATTTTGCGATAATTGGTTTACCAACATTTTTGGTTCTATATACTGCAATACGTCGATTCCGGTTTTCTCTAATAGATCTAGAAAATTTTTATAAATATTTTTCATTGGCATTATATTTTTGCATGTAACCAATAATTACAAAATTAAATTCAAGCATACAATGTTTCGAAGAAATAAAATTAAATTACCTGAAAATATCATGTTGCATAACGCAGATACTTTGTCACTTTTTTCATATTTCTTACTAATGAAAAATACGATCAAGAATATTAACATTCTTATATTGGGGCTGAAATATATCATCGGCAAATGAAGAAACACTTCTAAATATAATTCAATTTTAAGAGAAATTGTATCTGTCAATTGCATCCATTGTTCCTGCAATATCTGTTCTTTTAGAATTTCTAAGACTTCTAACAATTTATCATTATGTCCGTTCTCCATCAACAGCTTCTAAAATTGTTTAAATCAATTAAAATATAAAAAATGAAGAATTGGTTTACTATTATCAGAGTAAAAAAATTTGTCGACAGTACTAAATTACACAATATTACTTACAACGTTAACATGGTCGGTAATAGTTAGTGAAAAACTTTGTCCAATTTGGACAAGAATATGGCTTAGAAGGCACATAACAAAGCGCCTGTTTTCTTGAAGACATTCTTTATCTAATATGTCACGCCATTTATGAAAATTCTGTTCGCTCGTTGTTACATCAGCCAACAATAAACATGCCACTTTCGATATCTCTTTTTCATGTAGTAAGGCAAGCATATCCGTGTCATGTTTCAAAATAGTACTCCAGGAATACTCAAGGCTACCTATTAAACCATGAAGCTTAATAGGTTTATGTGATATATCTAACTTTAGTCGATGTAAAATAAGTTTATTCTGAAATTTCAATAGAAAAATATAGAGGATAAGCTCCTTGCAAGTGTTAAAAAAATATTCCATTTTCAAAATGAAACATATTGTAACGAAAATAGTTTTTTTTTTTTTTCAAATACCATGATATTCTTGCAATTGTCTTCTCCAAAGTTGGTAATCCTTTGAATTAATTGTTGCCAAGGATCATCCAGAATCGGAAATGGTAGTATCTTTGGCGCAGCATCTTTCAGAACATAATACTTAAACATATTCTGTATTTCGCTCAACGACTGCACCGCATTTAGCAGTATTATGGTAACAGTTTTGTTATGACTTAAACACAATGCCTCGTTCATCAACAGCGACAATGCATTCCCTACTTCACTGAAGCCATCGACAAATTTCTCGTGAGCGGATAATATTCTGGTATATTCGAAAATCTGCATGCCCTCGAAAAGTATAATGAGTAATTCTACCGTCGCCTTTAATATCAATATATTTCTACCTGCAAACCAAATTGAAAAAGAAAAATTAACTTACACATCTTTCGTCAGTCATTTAATTTAATTTATTCATTATCCTATTTCCAATTCACTCTTTATCGTTGAATTAATTATTAATCAATAATAAAAATACAAGATACTTACACGAAGTATTAGACTGCAACAATTCTGCACAATCTGTATTTAAATGATGCGTTAATGTCCTTAGAGTTGCAATAGTTTGTAAACTGGAAAAATTATTAATCGTTATCAAGAGCTTGATTTTAAATTCATCTGGAAAAATTGCAGACGTGTTGTTCGCTTTGTACGTCCTTTCTGTTGCAGCGTGCTGCTTCAACGATATTAATAATTGCGAGATGAACTTTTGCTCTCGTCTCAATTTCGTGCTGGAGTACAGAACTGCAATTAACAGGTTCGTGTGATCGACAGTTTGCCCTTTCATGAGTATCTTATTTAAAATAACCGAGGTATTTTTCTCTATCAAAAGCGGATTGATGTACGAAAGTTGCGTAAGCACTCTGCAATGCACACATGTCACATCGTCGTACGTCAAAATCTCATTTATGAGATTCTGAAAATACTCGGTCAACGTGACGCCGTCTATGGCATTATCAAAATCGAGCGTCAGGTCATTCAGTAGTTTGAGGATAGAGTCCAAGATTTCCCATTTGTACTTTCCCGAGAAATTAATTAGATTTCTGAAGAATGCATCCAGCAAAAGAGCATCGGATTTGTAAGTACCTATTACGGCACGGAAAATAAACTGATAAGTTAGAAGATTACTCTGAAGATCCGACGTCTTTACGTGCTCAGATAACACGCAAAATAAGTCTGGGAACATTGGCTGGCTGCTTCCGTCAGTCTCCTTATTTTGCACAGATCTGCTCTTTCCTAGCAACAACTGTTGGATGCACTTGTATGCTGCTATACCAAGCCGATTTGTGTTATCTGTACACGTGTGATCGACCAAAGTGCACATGGGATATAAAATATCCTGTATGAAAATTGATCTCAATTCGTCTCTTGTGGTGATCATCTGTTTATATATTTGCATCAGACTGTCAATAACGTTTATTACAGCATTATTTTCTGCAAGCGACAATTTACACGGCTCAAACAGTTGACTGAATTCTTCCTGTGTTGCACGACCAAAGCCGGAACGTTTCAACGTGTTATTTAACAGGGTTTTTATTAATAAACCCAGACTCATTGGTTTGTTTGTAAAATATTGCCGCATACTGTTGTTAGCAAGAAGCAAAGTGCAGCATTCAAGGATCTCCTCATACATGTTTTCCATATCGGTCTCCAATATTTGTACAAGCACATCGACCAAGGATTGTTTTACATTGGCTCTAATATTGATATGGTCAAACTTCAAACAATTATTCAAAGTTTTCCAAGCGTGTTGATTCATGGCACAAGTTTTGCACAGCCACTCCAGAAGCAAGTCCTCTTTCCGAACGAGTGGCAGATCGACTGCGCAAAACGCAGTTTCCGCTAACTTTAATCGCTTCGCCAAAGGATAGTCATCCGAGTTTAACCGCTTTAACAGTTCTGTGAAATGCATGAAATTCATAAAAAAATTTATTTTGAAAGGGCGCAATAATTAAAGTGCTGCCGTAAAAACATCTTTCTGCAATTCGATTTCCCATTTTAAAGCATTGACAGTTTTATAAGTTAATAATTTATATTTTGTTAATAAATTGCATCTGTTAATGACACTGTCAATAATTTTGTCAATAACTCAAATTTAATTTTTTATTTCATAGGTTAATTAACTTATGGGACTATTAACCCTTTAAAGTATAAAAAACCGAATTTTGGCAATTATACCACTTTTGCGGTAGACCACGATTAAGTATTGCGACAATAAATTATAGGTTATACAATCACGTGTCGACACATAGCCTGAAAACATGTAAGAAGCCCTTCACTTACCCCTTGACAACGCCATTGTAACAATTTATAGAATTTCTTGATCTACAAAATATAGTTTGTATCACATATATTTTAAATATAAAAACAAAATCAATACATAACTATAGAGCAAGAAATATATGTTCCAGGTTGCAAGAAATTTAAGGTTACTTCGTGTTGATGACATAAACTAACACATTATAGATAGATCGAGCAGCGAGTATGCCATACATTATAGCGTTTTCTAAGATCCTTGTCCACGATTGCGGACTGTTGACACACACATACAAATGTATGCACATTTGCGGCAGTTGCCCTCTGAAAATAGCAGAACCAATCAGAGCAGAAAACATTTCCTACTTCCACTCTCTCTTGATTCTCTCTGTCGCGAATTTCTTCATCCTTGTTATTTATCAGATATTAAACAAGGACAGATGACGCTCACGCTCGTGAAGTTGTCCCATCTAGGACGTTGGTTAGATCAGGTTAGACTAGACTGTACTCGTCGTGTTTACGGTTGTCTCTTTGTAGTCTGACTTAAACGTTAGATTTGCGTATATAATATTATTAATATATTCCTTATATCGTTTTCAAGTTTTATTTTAATAATTGGAGTGCATCATGGCCACAGACGATTCGTGGAAAACGCAACACTTTCGTCAGAGCGTTGTCGCGAAAATGTAAGTCAACAGCGTCGGTTAACCTCATAGAGGGAAAACGTCAATTGACATTAAAATTTTAAGCATTTATAGAATTTTTAACAATATTATCTGAGATTATTACATAAATTTATCTTTTACGTTGTATGTATTATTATTTATATATGTGTGTATGTATATCAATTTTATTCTTTGAAACCTATGAACATGTAATTTATTAGCAATGTGCATATATATGTTTCCATAATAGATTTATTTTCCGTCCTCTGTTACCTTTTTTTTTCTATACAATTTTTCTAATTCTGTTCTTTTTCCTTCTCTTTTCTGTTTCATAACGACACTTGCATAACACAATCAACTGAAATCAAATCTCAATTTCTCATTTGATGTAATTAAACATTTTGTTAACAGTGACGAAGCCATACAAGTGTCTGGTATGCCTACAACAAAGAATAGCATAGAAATGGAGAACCATGTCTTCCAGAAAGCTAAATCTAAGGTATATCTAGAACTATGCTGAAAACATATTAATTTTATTCTTGCAGCTGCATTGAGCTATACTTTCTTGATTTAAAATGAAATATAGATGTATAATGTTATGCTTATTAAACTAAAGATAAAATAAACATACAATTAAATATTAGACTAATATGAAAAATAAAAAATTTTAGATAGATAGAAATCTATTGAGTAACATAATAATGTTACATATTTTTATACATATTTATTTTTAAACTATATTATCTGTAATTGTATTTTTACTACTAATTAATTGGGATCTTTTTATAATATTCTCCTTTCAATGGTAAAATGCTGCAGTACTAGATTTGTTGTAGCATTAACTGTTTTCAAAGTTTATCTGAGAGTTATCACATAGATTGTATTATCATGTAGATTGTATTATCATTCTATTCTACTAGGCGCGTGTGAGACTTTCAACATTACATTAATATTTTTCTATCTTCTTACAGGAAGAGTACCTGGGTTTTGTTGCAAGATTAATTCTTCATGTCAGAGAAATGAGTAATATATAAATGTTTTATATTTATTTCGTATTACATTACAATGTGAAATTATCATAAAAGTAATGACTGATTTTTAGTATGTTAACGTAAAATATTAAATCATATGTAGCTTGTAAATTTTTTCAACGAGACAATATGTTTTTTTCTGTTAATTTACAAACTAAATAATTGTTAAACGAATAAAAATATTTGTTTTAGGAAAATAAATTGTAAATATATTCTGAATTACTTAATAATTTATTAAATTAATTGTATCATTAATCATATTTTTTAAATATTTTTTTTTATTTATTTGCAAAATTTTAAAGTCTTGTTTTCCTGTCGATTTTTTAAAAGTCAGTCTCATAACTTTTGCGTCAGATCTTATATGTTTTAATGAAATTCTTTTCTTCTCATAGATTCCAAGAAGGGTGCGGCTGGCAATGCAGCAGGTACTGCTGGCACCAACAATCAAGGCATGCCTGATCCAATTGGTGCTCTTCAGACATTAGCACGCCAGGGCACGGGAAATAATCAAATGATGGGCATGGGTGGTCCGGGTCCTAATCATCAGGGCATAATTCCGCAACCATCTGCAAATACCGCAACCAATCGTAAGGAATTGATTGAAGAATGACTTTTGTATAGAAATTATATTGAATTTGATAATGGAATAACTATAGGGCTTGCGTTCTTCCACATCTATCACAAATTATTCTAGCTATTCTATTAATATATCTATCACAATAAATATTATTTTTAATAAATCTATCTACTGCTTTGTCTAATTGCTTATTTTACTTTTTCTGCTTGAACACTATTAGCTAAAATTATTCTATCTATTCTATTAATATATCTATCACAATAAATATTATTTTTAATAAATCTATCTACTGCTTTGTCTAATTGCTTATTTTACTTTTTCTGCTTGAACA